TTTTTTTTTTTTTTTTGCAAAATGTCACTTCAGATGACAGGATGTCTCGAGGATGTAGAAAAAGGTAGCAAAAGCCCTGTGAGCTCGAATGGTTCATGAGGTTATGTTGTTTTCTGCAGCATGCGAAAGCTTGATGTAGCCTTTAGGATAGTGCCCTGCCGCAGGGCTGCACTCCCACTCTCACGTTTTGATGCTGAGGCACGAAGCTGAATCTTACCTTGTCGATAAATGCACCAGATGCACGACCACAAACAGTGAAGCAGAGCCAGCCCGAGCAGCTCTATGGGGATCTGAGGCTGCACATAGTTTCATTGCAACTTTGCTTAAGCTCTTATTGAGCATTAATGCTACAGCAAAGGTGAGATAAAAAATATATACTGACTAGCTGAGATGATTTCAGTTAAGTTTTTGGCACGAGAGAACCAAAGTGACCAATTTCAACCAAAGTGCTTTCCAATTTAAATTAATACATGAATCAGCATTTATCTGAGTTTCTGTAAATTAGCCAGATTTAACCCCAGAGGAGTCAAGTCAACCCTGACTCCCTGAGTAGAACAAATCAAATGTTAACGAGGAAAACCTTAATACTGCTCCAATGAGAGATTGGGAAATTATCACGCTTCACATTTGTGTCACTGAAGTGCACAAACAAGTCAAGACTCTCCTGACGTTTTAGTTTTACACTGATGCACACATATTCCATTGTATTTGTTTGTCATATCAAACATGGGATGACTTCACTGTAAAATCCATCCAAAACTGATAAAACATCCATAGACACATTTTCCAATAACCGAGTGACTGTCTCGCTGCAAAGCTCCAAATCGATTTACAAGATTCATTTTGGTTTTGATTATGTAATTCCAGCTCGTTATATTACCAGTGCAGTCTGAACGTAGAGTTGCAATGATGAGTAATTCTTTACTCTGCATTGTTGAACCAGGATCTCTTTAGCAGCAGTTGATTCCTATGAACATGCTCATGAGCAGGGGTCAATGTTTGTTCCGGACCCTTAAAGCAAAAAGTAGAATATCTCTCCTCCTCCTGGTTCTGAAGGGACCGTGTTGAACAGTCTGTCCAGTGATCCGTGAGTTTCTCGTCTTTTCATCTCGCCTGTTTTCCATAAGACTCCACAGAGTTGGAGATCTATAGATCTCCATCTCTAGATGAGGTTTGACTAACATGAGGTGATGTTTGGGCCTACACCAGAGACTCGGACCACGGAGACAAAGACACTTTCCTTTTAGTGCGGTTGCATCACTGCAGCTGGCATCCTCGACAGTCGTCCTCAGGCTCGGTGTTATCCGAGGAGTAGGAGCTCTCCTCGCTCACTGTCAAATGCAACACAGACATATTAGACAAATTGTATAAACCATTCAGTTTACAATTATAGAATCTCAAACTTCACTCTGAACATGCAGGTTCAGATATGTGCAAAATATACATGAAAATATAAAGTGTATGACTTACACCACTCAGTCTGTATGGGGAGGAAGGCCTTATCTCCATTCTCCCTGATCATCTCCTCTATCTTATCCAGCAGGACGGACACACTCCTGTCTTTCCCAGGGGTCTTACTGTCCAGGACATGGTAATAGTTCCCACAGTATTCAAGTAGTCTCTGCAGCTCCCGCCCGCCTCTGAGAATGTGCTCTTCGATGGGCGTGCGGCCCAGCCAGTCACCACAGCTGAAGAGCACCATGGTGTGGAGACACGCGCTGTCACCGAACAGAGTCTCTATGTGGGCCAGGAGCGTTCGTCTCTTCCTGGCCGTGAGGGACGAGACTACAGGGAGGACCAGCAGCAGAGTGTGGGGTCCAGGCCGCAGCAGGGCAGCTCCACGCTGGGACTCCTGGCGAATACGCTTTGGCGTGCGCCTCACAGAGAACCAGTCCCACCCTGGGGTGTCGACGATGGTGATCCGGCGGCCCGACACAAGCGCCTGCCTTCTGAGGCACAGCTCCGTCTCCTGGCCCGACTCAAAGTAGCGACGGCCCAGGATGGCATTCCCCACCGAGCTCTTTCCAACGCCCTTCCAGCCCAACAACAGCAACCTCAATTCTGCACAGAACACACAGAGGCAGATGAAGAAAGAGACACAGGATGAGATGAGGGGTGGTGTGGAAAGCACAGGAACAGAAAAACAATATTGATCAGTAATGAGTAAGCTATTTCCTAACACCAATTCTTGAGCAGTGACCTCATCTTTATTACATTAGTCATTCTGTTGCATCACACACACACAAAACTTTGTACTTCTATCTTAGTGAGGACACTCAATTGCATAATGCATTACCCAGCACCTAATGCAAACCCCAACCATCACAACTAAATGCCTAACCCTAATCCTTACCCTATGCATAACCCGAACCTAATCTTGACACTAAAAATAATATAAATAAATGTGAGCCAAAATATCCTCACTCTGTAAGTTCTAGGCTCAAAATCGTCATCACAAAGATATGATATCTGTCTGAGTACACATACGTGCAGCTAACCTTATTAAGGCTTTGCACAGACGTCCATTCATTAAGGACAGCCTAACCCTGACCAGCACCTCAAACATGACATTGTTCCTCATGAGAACTGGGTTTTGGTCCCCATGAGGTGTACTAGTCCTGATAAGGTCAGTGATTATGCTAGAAAATGTCCTAAAGAGGTATTAAAAACAAGCTCACACACACACACATAGACACACACACCTCTGGGAGGTCCTCCGATCATCTGCTCCCTCTGTCTGGCGTGCTCCTCCATCCTCATCCTCTCCTCCTCCAGCGCTCTCCTGGCCTGCTCCTCCTCCAGTAAAATCAGCTCGTTCACCTCAAAGTACCAGCCTGCACAACAGAAACAATGAATTATTTACGAAACCATTTTCATTTGGCTCTATGACACAATTGGTGTATTAATGATGAAATTATATAAGATCGAGTGAGCAGAAATGTTGCTCTACATAATCCGTTATTGTAGCATAGCACGAAAAGCTAATTCTTCATGTGAAAAACCAACCTTGGTTGTCAGTGATCATCTCCTCCACCTTCTCCATCAGCTCGGGTACCTGTGTGTTCTCCTCCGTCTCTTTCTGAGTGTTGTCAAAGGCGTGGTACCTACAGGTGGAGAGACACAGTGTTCACCATTGTTACACATATGGTTCAGTTTATTCATTGTGAGTCCATGTGTGTCAACTCTAATGGTAGTGATGTCATCAGGGTAGTGGAGATTGGAAGGGGTTGACAATTAGGGGGGCTGAAAGACAATCAGGTGGAAAATGTAAAATCCAGTCTTTTTACAGCTTGAACTAAATGTCGGGATATCTCGGCCTCTGCGTCTTAGAAGTACAACATCTCTTCCCTTTTATGAATGTTAACAAAAACTGTTAAAAACAGAAAAATGTTCGCAGAAGTCACCTTGTGAGAATTGGTTTTACTGATTTACCTTATTCCTAAAACAAACTGGATGTGTACAGATATATATACAAACCATAGAGACGTCTGCGTCAGTCTTCATCCTTGTCAAAACCTACTGCCTCCATTACCCACAATCCAACTCTGCCTTTGACAGTTTGGTCAGAGATTTAGTTGCATTAGTAGCATGAAGTGTTTATAAAGACTAATTCCCACAAAGTGAAGCCAAAGTGTCCGATCGCGACGTGGTGGCTGGCTGTAGTAAAGGTCATAAAATCCAGCCTCCTCCATGTTAGTGGATGGGAAAAAGGCCAATCTAAAATATGCGTAAAATAAATGTTTCTACATTTGGCTGTGTTTGGTACTTGTTATCACACTGATCTATTTTCATGTGCTAATCTTATACAGTAAATTTGGAGGTAACAAGTGGCCTTATACAACTTTGTTTACATATACTGTAGTATATTCCCCAACACCTGCAAACACACTTTGTTATGTATGACTGTCCCTGAACTGCTGCTGCTGATGTTGAGGCTACAAACACAATATTCAGTCATTATTTCTGGTTGCTGATTCCTTTGTTTTTGTGAAAGGAACCAGAGAAGAGAGAGGAAGGAAACAGACCCCATACCTGCTTCCACATCTCTCCACCAGCCACTGCAGGGCCTCTCCGGTGTTGGATATGTGCTCCTCAATGAAGACACCTTTTGGCAGTTTGTCCACCCCGGTGAAGATTACCATGGAGTACCTCCAGGTCCCTCCCCCCAGGGCCCCAAGTTGCTCGTCTGCGGCCCTCCTCTGGGTGTCAGTGAAGGGCTGGGTGACTGACACCACCAGCAGTATCACGTGGGGGCCAGGAGGGCAAAGAATGGCCCCCATGCATGGCCCTTCGCTGTCAAGGCTTGGCGGTGGCCTCGGTGTACTGTCCGACTCGGCACCGGCATTGTCGTTGTTGTTGTCAGCTTCAGTGTCATCCTCTGGGTCAGCTGGGACGGCCCATGGTGGAGTATCAACCACGGTGACGCGTCTGCCATAGATCTCTGTGTGGCCCACATTGCTGTGAGTTGTCTCTGTCCCAGCGTCGAAGACCTCATCCCCCAGGATGGTGTTGGCAGTTGAGGTCTTACCGGACTGTGGGCCCCCCAGGATCAGCAGTCTGCGCTCAGGGGGGTGGCGGCCCCTGGGGTCACCTGTTGAAACACAGACACATGAGACTCAAGTTCCCTCGGATGATGGGTTTGTTGAGTGTTTTTAACAGCACAGCATTTGGGCCTCAGTGGAAATGATCTTTATCCTTAAATCAGTTTCAATCCCCGCTTCGTCTTGTCCTCAATGTGCTTTTAGAAGATGAGGATATGTCTGCTGTTTTTCCCCACCAATAAATTCTCATGTCGCACTCTCTGTGCCTCTGTTCTGCCCTCCTCTGATTTCCCCTTGTCGTCATCTTATCTGGGCTCCTTGCTACCTTACACCTCTTCTCTTTCATTTCCTCCTACATTCATTCCTGTCCTCATCCCCCTTTCTGCCCCTCAACCCTGCTCCCAGCATGCCTCGTCTTTGTTTTCCTCTGTCATTAGCCTTTGGAAGAATCGGGTCAGAGAGGAGGAACCTCAACCTCCTTCCAGAAAGAACAGGCACATGGACGGACTCATGAGTAAAAGTTGCAACTAAAGAGGACAAATGCTTTGGCATCACAGAGAATTAAGAATTAAGAGATGTTTGCTCTGTGAGGATGACAGGAGGACAGGATGCAGTGGGCGGTTATGCTCTTCTGATGACACTTTCCATGTGAGCTTTTAAACACAGGAAGTTGTCTCAAGCAACAGTTCCCCGCTATTGCCGACATCTGGGCCAAACATAGCATATCTGTGCCTGGACGCTGCCAGTGAGTGGATGAATGGTGATGGTGGGGGAATGTGTGGCGAGGCTAAAGAGCCAAAAGACCCACTTACCAGTGTCAGAGGCAGAGGACACAGCAGCCATCTTGTGTGTAGAACCTCTGGCTTCCTCTTCCTCTGCCCCCCTCCTCCGTCTCCTTCTCGCCTCCACGGTGGATTCCTCTTCTTGCCTCTTCAGAAAGCAACGGATCCTGGGTGGTATGCGAAAGGGTGGCAGCTCAAATGCTCCTTGGCTCTCTCCGTCACTCTTACCCTCATTCTACTGCGGTGTGACTCACTCTATCTATCTTATGTACCCTATGTGTACCAGTGCCTCCCTTCCTCTCCTCATACCCACTATGCCACTCAACCTCTCCCCCTCTTCTTCTGTTCTATCTTACACACCCCCTCACCCTACTATAGCTCTCTTCCCTCCTCTTCTCTACCCTTCTTTACTCGTCTTCCAGCGCTCCTTTCTCTTCTCTTATTTATCTGTCTGAACAGATGGGAGAGATTGTGCAATGCAGGAGACGGGAAGCCAAATCCTCCCCTGCAGCAGCAGCAGCTCCAGCAAGATGTCTCGTCATTTTCTTTTCCTTTTTTCTTTGGAGGCAAAACAGAGGAAGCTGTTCCTCCTACTCGCTTGTATCACAAAGCAGCAGCAGCAGCAGCAGCAGTACTGTATGCAGACTGCAGTCAGGAGGACAGATAGAAAGATGGATAGACAGAGAGAGAGGGAGGAGAGAGGGAGCACTCTGCTCTCTGTTTACAGCTGGATGTATTCCCCAGCTGCTGCATCATGCACAAACGCAACCATTTCTTTGATGCCTGCAGACACAGAAACATATGAGGCAGTGAGGGCATGCATACTGCATGAATACATTTAAATATGGACATAAGACATGCAACACTTCACACATAACAGATCCTACGAATAGCAGGAGATGAAATGTAGCTGAACTGGATTCAAAAAGCGACTAAATTCTGAAAGCAACATCATGTGAGGCAGAAAAGAAGAATTATATAAATCACCCTGAGTGTCTGAGCTCATCCTTGGCTCCAGATCAGGTTAATTGTGTTAGCTGTGCGCTGGGATACGTTCACGTACTCAGGGGGAAATCACGTAAGACATAGACTTATTTTGAAGGCTGCATCTTCCAATTATGAAATAACCACTTCAGTAGAAGCTGGTGTGATCACTGTTTTGTAATGACGCAGTTCTCACTCACTGGACCTGCGGTTTATTTTGAGGAAAATCACTGAGGAGCCGCGACACGTTCACGACCACTGGGCCATGCGCACGGTGCGTTCACTTACTCCCCGGAAGGTGCATTTTCCCAGGTTGTTACGTCATTGTTCAGCGTGTTCTTTGATGTGCTGTGAAGCCAGAATGTGGGAAAGAAACATGGACGCCGTCATCAGAATGTGTTGAAGCAAAAACTTTGATACCCCTTTCCTATTTACATATAACTACATAGTAAAGAAGATATATCAACAAAGATATGTGCATGTTACTCATTAAAAACATCTGCATTGGTTAAAGTATGGTGTTCAGGGCTTGTCTGAGAAGAACGTGCAGTTTACAAGTGACAATTTTTTAAACATTTATTCATATTAGAAACTGCTGTTTAGAGCTGATTGTAAAATCCAGTTAAATCATGCAACTCCTGGACCAATACAGACTATAATAGACTAAACCATGTAGTAACAAACAAGTTGTCACCTCCTTCTCCACCAAGTTCTGTTGGTATTCAATCATGGGTTTTTACTGTTTTTATTTTATGTCTTATCATTACTTTTTTTTAATGATTATGATTATAATGAGGATGATGATGATGATTAGTATTATTGTTATTAAGTAAAGGAAGTTTCCTTCAAAATGTACCTTGTTACAGAAATGATCAAATGGAAGCTATATAGACCCTGGTCGT